CAATGTGTTTCTCATTCCCACACACTTACACACTAACGGCGCTCGCTTGCCATTGGCAGCAACTCCGGGTTGCTTTGGCACATGGAGGAGCTGGAGATCAAACTGCCAACATGACAATTAGTGGACAATCTGTTCGACCACCTGAGCCTCCACTTACAACCAGAGAATCCCCCCAAAAAAAGCCACTCAAGGTAAACAATCAATGTAAATAGTTTATTTGATCATATTCATTGAAAATCTCATATCACCTAATTTTTAAAAAAGCTTGTTATTTTTGTAATAAGCACAAACTGCCTAAAATACATTTCTGGTGAAAGTTTAACAAAAAAAAAAACAAATAAAACAAAAAAAACATGCCAGTATTATCCAGTTAGAGAAATGATGCTATTACAGACAGTGAAGTTGAGAGAAATAGAGCTGGATGGCATCACAGGCTGCGAGTACAGGAGGACGTATCACTAAGACACAAAAGCAGCTCGACTAATAGGAACTAACGGTTAGTGAGGCCACGTTTCTGGCTTGGATGCACCTGTGACGCTTCCCGCAAGCAAACCGACGGACCCGCTGCACGACAGTGAAACGTTATGATTAAACACTACTGTAGACTTTCTGGCTGCATTTGGCTTAATTAAATATACAAAAAACAAAAAGGAAACAAAAACTATAAGTTAAAATAACATTCAAGTTGTATAGCACAAGGCAATGAAAACTTTTGTTTAAACAATATGTACAATATTAACCATCTGGTAATGTGAATTAAGTAATAAAAAAAAAAACATGGTTTGTAGCAAAATATCTGTACATTTAGGAAAAACCTTTGTGTTGCTTACTTTTTTTGTTTTGTCATGTTTTTTTTAATGACTATGGACACATTAGATGAAAACATGAGCTTAAATGAATCTTCTCAGTGGTTAAATACTATACATTAAAATTACAGTAAAGTGAGTAGAGACGCAGTAGCCTGGAGGATTATTAAACCTGTAAAACATTCACAGAGTTATGTCCAGTTTCGAGATCATCCAGTAGGGTTTGTTAGGAGTTCGTGCAGTTTCTACATTTGATAGAAAATGTATTTATGTGGCTTTTTTTTTTT